TACGCTCATATAACAGGTCCACAGACCGTATAAGCAAAGAGCTTCATAAATACATACTTTTGCTATATATATCACAAAATTTATGTCTGACCACAGCTGATATTAATCAGTTGCTGCAATCAAATCTAAGAGCAAATCATATCGCCCCTGCTGCCACTTGATTTTCCATTTAAACAAATATGAGCACTGACCTTAATTTTTCATTTCCTTTCCAAAAATTAATAACCAAATAAACTTCTTGGTATCTTCACTGCAATGGGTACAAGTGTGAATCCTACCTGAGAAGCCTGGACGGGCCTAGGAAAGACCACCGATGGTACGGGGTTCGCACAGAGCTGGTTAAAAAGCTGCGAATCACATATGCTGGCACGATACAATAAGCCATACTCCAAATTAAATTACGTATATCAGGCTAAAATTAGCCTTCCTCCACAAATTCACGCCCTATTTGCGGTATTGATTTTCTTCCGTCTCGAGAATCAACATATTGATTTGGAGGCCAATCTGTGAACGATTATATTCCATCCTTCCGGGAAATATATAGCAGCATGACCATCTAGCAGACCACCGTTTTGTCTTCCTAATTCGCCTTCACCATCGTGTAGCCATTGGGCCTAATTTAGATAAAGAATGCCACAAAAACAATTAAACTAATCTGACTGTAAAATAAACTCTCGTCTGTTAGTAGCGGCTGTCACACTGCCCTTTGTATGACGCGTATAAGTCATAAAAATTAAAAATTATTTTGCATAAGGAGTGCTAAAGTCTATACGCTTATAATGAAGCTGGCTGTCAGACATTTACACGGAATAGACAAAATGTTACAGCCAAATAAGAAATAAAATTTCAAATTCGTAGTAATGTGTGTAAATGCGCTGCTAATTACGTTTCACCACAGCAATTGATTCACTAGTCCCCCCAGCTTCGTATTTCATCCTGTAAGAATTCAATGACGTCGTATTTGGCCCTCTTCCGTATTTAAACTGTAATGTCACTTGCTCCTCTTTTGCAGTGCAACGCGCCATTTTAATCGTTGCTTCGGCTGTTTCAGAATCTAGCTACGGCTAATGCACAGCCATAGTCACAACGAAAATTTTACTTTTAAAAGAAATGCAGCCGTTATAACACAATCCATAGCTGCCGCATTTGAAGTGGTCGTTGCACTACCGGATACTCTCCGTTGTTAGAAACATAGAAAGATCCATAAAACAAGGAAGGTAGGCTCGGAATAACAGCAATGTCGTGTAATACCTGCCAAATAAAGTCGATGACAAACACGAAAGCAGTGTTGCAGTATGTGTATTCACGGCAACAATAAAAAGCTTTGAAGTTAACAAGAGAGTTTTAATGAGGCATGCGTCCCTGGTGTTACAAATTCTCCCTTTGAGTGCTTGTCAGATACTGAGCAATTAAGAAATCGTAAACAACGATAAAGCAATGCCAGCTCTGCGTTGCACATTACTTAAAAGGAACCCGTAAAATATCTCACATTATTGCCGACAAACACAAGGCACGAGAATAATTATCTACTTTATGGAAAGGCGTCCCTTTGCCTGAAATTCATTGCTGCAAGCCATCAATGTATGCGAAGACTACACAACACACAGAAGACTTTAGGTTTAAAAGTTTCATGGTTCGTCTTAAGAAATTCGAAGAGTTCCCGAGAAACTGAAAACTGTTGTATCCCAGTTCGTGTTTAGTAGTCGATTTAATTGAAGATAATTACACAGAAGAGGAATGGCTTAGCTAGATAATGGAGATGCTAATGACATTTCTGATTCGCGCTCAAGTTTCAATGCGATTAGTGAGCTGGATCTCTTAAGTGTTCCATTACAGTTTATCGAGGTAGGCACACGGCGGAATATCTGGATAGATAAAGCTTCTTCAAGAAGCTACTACTAAAAATTATATTTCAGTACTTCAAAAAAAGACACAACTGTTAGAATGTTAACCCTTCGAGGCAATCTGCAACTTTGTCATATAATCCCATCAATTTTGACTCCGTGTATTTTAGAAATGAATAACATCGCGCTAACTTCATAATTAAATCACCATCAATAAACATTATCATGACGTTATTCTGATGTATTATTCAAAAGGAACGCTGATAACGGCTTTATCATCTGTCCTTCGCTTTTAGCAATTCCAATTAAATCCTTAAATTGCGTCAATACTTTCTGCAATCCGTCTTCATACAACAAATGCCCAGTTCGGTGCGCCTTAACTGCCAATGACATTTGTAGTTGAAACATGTTTCACATAAAAATGTTTCTTTTGATTAAACCTGAATGTTTAATTGTTTACATCATGTGTATATTGTTTGTTTTGTTTTCTGTTCCTTTTATTTTTATCTTTGTTTCTGGCTCTGTAATTGACTCGTGTAGCTGTTGAGTTAGCATGTTAAAATAAATTGAATTGAACTGAACTGATTCAAAGCATCGTCCAGATTCGAGGTCCTGTGTAATATTCTGGGTATTTTCGCGCAACCGCCAATCTAAGAGCCCGCCGCGACGGCTTGCTTGTTCAGTGTTTATGCATCTACCGACCACAAGGAAATAGGTCAGACTGGATTCGTCTGGCTCAGGATTACAAAGGAAGACGCAGGGCTGTTGTTAACACTGTAATGGTCCTTCGGATTCCATGAAATGCTGCGAATATCTTGACTAGCTAAGCGACTGTTAACTTCTCCAACATCTCCTCCAGGTAATTAGTTATCATTAAATTGAAACTCACTTGGTGCTTCTAAGTAAAGCACTTCATGGTTGTTCCTCCCCCATATTCCGGAGTTCCGAATGTTAAGTAGGAAGAGCACCTGACATAACAGCACCGTGGTTTTTCTCAGTCCGTCCAGGTCATTAAAGAAAGTTACTTCCGCCGCCTCCCACACCTCTTCTCGTTCTCGGTCAATGGTCTCATTTGGCGCGAAATAATCCTAGGTGCTGATAGACACGCATCATAGTAAAATAATGAAAAGAAACAATAACATTCAGGATTCAGAGGGTTAAAATTATGCTTCCTCTGCCGGGGGAATGGAGTCTCGTCACTTATTACAAACGTTTTTTCTCTCTCTCCTGGCGCTAATGCCAAATGACGAAAACAAAATAAAATGACATTTGGCAACAGTGAGAGGGCACTCGCAGCAGTCCATTGGTTGCAAAAAGGTTTACCTAGAACTGAAAAACGGCTTATCGACCAAACCGAAAGCCCGATATGAAATGTTGATCTTATAGCAGGAAGGAAATTCTCTGGATAGTAGAAATCATCTGGTGCTTGTGAAGAAATATAAATTACCAACGCCTATTATGAGAACCGCAGTGCTGCATTCCAGCATACCACACATTAATTTTTCCCCTATTTTTTAGGACATACACTCGTGTGCTACGTTCTACGTCGCATGTTTTGCTTTCATCCTCCATTGCACAGATTCCGCCAGAAGCAATATCAGTAGCTTTCTGGGATGAGCCCCGTCAAATGATGAAAATTACAAACGTTTCGGCAAACATCGCAGCTGCCATCTTCAGCGGAAATGTGTAATGGTTGAGCGGTGAGTTTAGATTTGATGGGTGCTGATGGACGGAGCGGAAGAGCAGCGCTTCCAAAAATATCCATTCATGAAATTCACCCTTAGGATAGCAACTGCAATGTGTCCGAAATGAGAAATT